GCACCTCGCTCAGCCAGTGAGCGGGAACCGGTCTGTATGTGGGATCCGAACCCTCGGCGGGAGCGCCACCGCGCTCCCAAGCGGCGCACTGTAGCAGTGTGCCACCAGGCCAGCCCCAAAAGCACTTCCTTTTGATGAGAGCTAATTCACAAGCAAAGTAACCAGGACAGCACATTTGTTCATTAACTGCCCCAGGACAGCCAATCGAATGAATTCTGCAAATTTTCCAGTAAAAATTAAAACTCAACTCAAACTCAGTTTGGCTACATTTTTTTCTTTTAGGGAATTAGATTTTTAATCCTTAACTGACCAGTTTGCTGACTGTGGCCTTTTCTTAGGTTAATTAATAAGGCCACAGGATTAGTTCAAGCCTATTCTATTTTTCGGCAGATATAGATTAATGTTTTAATGTCATTTGAACTCATACTTTTCCTTACCATTCTGCAGTAAGTAAAGGAGGGGATTATAGAGAGCCAGGGAGAGAACTGACAAAACTCGAGAAGGATGGTCCATGTCCCACACTGATGGTCAAGGGCTTCATCTGCAAGCTTGCACAGTGCATCTGTGAATGCAGGAGCCTAACGCTCTGAGCCCAAGCTCCAGGCTATCTAGGGGGCTGAAAGCTCATGCATAGAACTTTCTGATGGATAGTAGGTGGTGTTTAACACAGAACTTTCTCTATCCGTAAACACATTAGTCACTGAACAAAGGATTCATCTGCAGAATTTAAAACAGCTAAATTGAAATACAAATATGAAAGGAAATCTCTGAAAATATGTGTAGCAGTTTACTTGTGCAGTGATGTCCCAGCCTTCTTCCAAACAGACCAAAACTGAGGAACCATTCTCGAGTACTTCTGATATAACCACAGCCAGCTGCAGTATCCTGTGAAGCTAAGATAGGAAAGAAGGCCACAATGAGACCAATGCACTTTCTGAGCAGAGAGGATAGAAAGACTTGCTATCAATGTTGGATAATCAAACAAGTTAGCACTTGGAGAAAAGAACCACATGATTTCTTAAATACCCAAGTTCTTGTCAAGTCAAGATTAAACAATGACACATGTTAAAAGTAGACGTATTTTAAAACAATGTGTTCAAGTGATACATAATGAAATAAAATGACTTCACATGATTTTCCCAAAAGTAGAAGGGCTATAATTCCATTGACTGGAAAAGACAGAGATTCTAAGTGGCCCTCCCAACATAGTTATTGGATTTAAAATTTGTTTTTCCAAGATGTAGTAAATTCTAGTTCATATACTCTTAATTTTTCTGGAAATAAATAGTTGTGATAGTTGTACAACAACACTGCGAATATACTAGAAAGTACTGAATTGTATACTTTGAAAGGATGAATTTTATGGTGTGATTTATTTGTTAAAAAAAAGATACTATTTGTCTGACTGTGTATTAAATGGGAAGAAAACTTACATTTGTGCTCAGCTTTTTAAGCCACACTGACTCAAAGCCCTTAATAAACAAGTAGGGTTTGAGCACAGCATATAGATTTCAAAACCAAATGTAACATTCTAGTTTTAAAAACCATTTTAAGCATCATAATTTGCAGTATAGATCCAACACTGAACTAAACAAAACCAAAAACTAAAACACATTTTAAACAGAACAAGGCTATTTTAAACACAGGAACAAGGCACATGTCCTACTGAGCAGCGGGAAGCTCCTCACTTACTGTTCCTACACAGCTATCACCAGGCCTGAATTCTCTTGGGCTTAGTTAGCATTTGCTCTAAGAGTTAACTTTTTAAATGACAATATCCCAAGTAGGACAATATTTTCCACTGTCTTTAGTACCTATCTTCTGGTACAGGCCCACTTTTCAGCAAGGAACAGAGCACAGAATGTACTAGAAACACAGGTTGGGTGGTGGGGACAGTTTGGGGCTGGGGCTCATAGCCTAGGGACAGAAAAGAGTACTGGTCAGTTCCTTCCATGGATACTCAGAATATCCTAAATTGCCTTGATAGTAACAAACATACCTTGATATATATTCATAGCCATTTGTATATGTGGCTGTGTGTACCTTGAGAATAGTCGCTGGCCTGGGTACTGACATCACCCCCTGGCTTTTTTTGTCCAATGTACTGTGGGAAACAACCCTTTTTCCTCCTCAAGAGAGGCAGGATTCTTGGAGGTAGACGGGGGCAGGGGACAGAGGGACTGGGAAGAAATAATGGACCTTAAGACAAGGTTGAAAGCTATATTGCAGAGATGCTCTTGGCCAAATGTCTGAATCAGCATATAAAATATGCATGTCATAAATACCTTTCCCTCTGTGGTTTGGAAGAAATATGTGTGTATGTGTGCTGACATACCTATTTTCCCTTCACTTCTCAATAAAACTTCAATTAAAAATATCCCAAGGTTGATTTAGCTGAAGGATGAATATGTGGTTGTTCTCAAACCTTAGGTAGTTTTTGGGCATCTGCATGATGTGCCTTTGATGGTTAGTCTGGGGGTGAATCTAAAATCTAGAAACATGGAATAGGCAGAGACAAATGGAAGCTGAGAAAGTAAGAGAGAAAGGTTCTTGGAGTCATGCAGAAATTGCCTTCTGTCTTAGATCCTTAGTGTGTTGACAACAGAGCAGGAGCCCAATAAACACTGCTGATGAAATTTATTACACATCAGAAAGTTTCCATCTAAAAAATAATTTTCTCCTCCTTAGCATCCTATGGACACCAAACTTTCAGTTACACAGAGATTAAAAACTCAGTGATCAAGAATTCTACCTCCTCAGCCCTGTATCACATGGTTTTCTGACACTGAAAGGCCTATATGAAGGGTACACAATAAAGGGGGAGAACGTTGGGTAGTAGGGGGAAGATATTTTTTCCTCAAATATTGGGTCTGTGTATCCACTTGGGTCTCTCTTTCCTTCAAGCTGCTCCAGACATTACCTGTGGGAACCACTCAGAGTCTCCCAGGGCTTTCAGGAAGGTCACTTCTGAGTCAGTAGGGATGGTGCTTGGGATACAAGCCCTCATCAGCTTTTTAAAACTGGCTTTCACTTGTCGGATTTCATGAAATTCAACAGGAACAAACTCACAATTTAAAGCAAATTCTATCTTGAAGTTCTGTGGGTGAAGATGCAGAGAATTAGGCGGAGCAATGTTTTCAATAGGCTGATGCTTAATGATATACAGTTAGTTGAGGCCAAATAGCTGCAGAGGCTACAATGGGTCAAGAAAGTCACTCTTGTGTGGCTAATTTGTCAGTATTGCTGGAAAAAGCCATTCAGGTAGGTCGAGTGGTTTGCCTAGAATGGCAAGTCTAGTCCTTTGTAGAAGTAGATTATTTAGTTTAAGAATGCTGTGGGGCCGGCCCGGTGGCGCACTGCTACAGTGCACCGCACTGCTACAGTGCACCGCTTGGGAGTGCGGTGGCGCTCCCGCTGAGGGTTCGGATCCCACATACAGACCGGTTCCCGCTCACTGGCTGAGCGAGGTGCGGGTGCAACACTGAGGGCTGCGATCCCATTGCCGGTCCCGGTCCGGTCCAGGCGCAACACTGAGGGTTGCGATCCGTTGCCGGACACGAAAAAAGGAAAAAAAAAAAAAAAAAAAAAAAAAAGAATGCTGTCATTCTGGGGCCGGCCTGGTGGCGCATTGGAGAGTGCGCCACTTGAGAGTGCGGCGGCACTCCGGCCGAGGGTTCGGATCCCATGTGGAGACCGGTTCCTGCTCACTGGCTGAGCGCGGTGCGGGCGCAGCACTGAGGGTTGCGATCCCGTTACTGGTCAGTAAAAAAGACAAAAAGGAAAAAAAAAAGAATGCTGTCATTCTGAGAACATGAAGAGACTGCTGGTAGGTTGGAACTTGATGGAGCTTATAACACCAAATATAAGCCAATTATAAGGCCATGAACCTGGAAGTTTAAAGAGGAACCAATGACACATGGACAATATGGTTAATTGAACAGTGTAAACTAGAACTGTACAAATCAAAGTTTGTAGGTGTACACATATTTGTTTTTTGTTTTATTTTTCACAGCTGCCTGGTAACGGATCAAACCCTGGACCTTGGTGTTATCAACACAATGCCCTAACCAAACGAGCTAACTTGCCAACCCGGTATACACATATTTGTTTCTTATTATACAAGTAAAACATATTTATTGCAAAAAAAAAAAAAAAAAAGTAGAGATAAAACATTGAGAAAGAAATAAAATCACTGTTCTTACTATCTCAAGACTACTAACATGTGGTCACTTTTTACAAGTCAGTAATAAAAAATTATATACCATGACATGTGAAAGGCTTTGTTGATTTCTATCTTTGGGATAATATATTTTTTTTCTGGGTGAATGTCACCAGGAAATTGTTTTTCACTCAGTATGACATATGTATCAACCTATATTTAAGTACTTTTGGGGGGGAGGTGGGGTGGGGTGACTGGCCAGTATGGGGATCTGAACCCTTGACCATGGTGTTATAACACTGCGCTCTAATCAGCTGAGCTAATCGGCTAGCCCTTCAGTACTTTTTCATTTACATCTTTAGTCCATTTGGAATTTATTCTGTGTGAGGTATGAGCTGTTGCATTTGTAATTAAAGAATGCTATACCGATAGTCCATTTGTGTATTTTGTTTTGATAATCTGGTTGCCTAGTTCTGAAGAAGATTTAAAAGTTCTCTACCTTCTCATGACAAAGAATAAATTAATTTTTTAAGATTCCTTCCATTTTCTTCATATTCTGCCCAAAATACTCTACTGGGCCATCTGCTTTTCTAAGAGTAAAACTGCTTGTTGCAGATTGTGTACAACAACAAGAATGTATTCAATAATATTGACTTGTAACTTAAAAACGGTTATGATAGTAAATTTTGTTAAGTGTATTTTGCCACAATTAAGAGAAAAAGTGCTTCCAAGAACTTATATACAGAGTCTCTTTAATATTTTATACTGGTTATTTTATAGTTTTAAAAGGCCTATTAAAATTTGAAAAGACAAAGTAAAAACTCCTGTTTTTTTTTTTTTTTTTTTAGAAAAATAGCATTTCTAATATGTACCAAGAAAAAAAAAAAAGTTTGTCTAAATAATTCCATTTTTAGGAAGCTTTTCTAAAGAAATAATCTAAAATACAGAAAAATAACCAAACCCTAGTGAATTGTATCTCAATAAACCGCCCCCCCAAAACCCCTAAATGCTTGGAAATGTGACTCCAATTTTCCATATAAAAGTTAGAAAGAAACCTAAACATCAAACAATATGGGATGTTATCAGTGACTAAAATAATTACGAAGACTTACACAAGATGGAAATATGATGTTAAGGCTTGAGATAAAGAACTTAGCAGTACACATGTGTTCCTTTCTATTATTATTATTATTTTTTTCCTTTTTGTCTTTTTTTCATGACCGGCAACGGATCGCAACCCTCAGTGTCGCGCCCGTACCGGACCGGGACCGGCAATGGGATCGCAACCCTCGGTGTTGCCCCTGCACCTCGCTCAGCCAGTGAGCGGCCGGTCTGTATGTGGGATCCGAACCCTCGACAGGAGCGCCGGCGCGTTTCCCAAGCGGCGCACTGTAGCAGTGCGCCACCGGGCCGGCCCTCTATTATTTTTTTTAAGGGTTACAATAAATAAGAGATAGTTTACTTTTCAGGAAAAATAGATTTCTTTTTATTTCCCAACTATACATAGGCTAGGTATGTTTATCTTATAAACCAGGAGTTATGAACTACAGAGTTGAGACACATTGTTAGGTTATAAGGAACTTGTTACTATTTTTTTTTTTTTTGTCTTTTTTTCATGTCCGGCAACGGATCGCAACCCTCAGTGTCGCGCCCGTACCGGACCGGGACCGGCAATGGGATCGCAACCCTCAGTGTTGCGCCTGTACCGGACCGGGACCGGCAATGGGATCGCGACCCTCGGTGTTGCACCC